TGAAAAAAGGGTAATTTTTTACCATGGTCAACTTCATTTTTTATTCGACTGGAAAAATATATATGAATATACACTAGGCCAATAAGATTTATGTTTTTATTTATAGACATTTCTTTGAAAAGAGAATGCCAAAAGCTTAACGTTTTGATGAGTATAACCTTTTAAATTTCATAATATATCATTTTCTGACTTATTTACACCCGTTATTCATTAATCGAGCATAGACCATCTGCTAGCATTCTTCAACCTGATCCATCCTCGACTTGCTTTTCCAGTTCTATCTAACTGCTTTTCATTCTTCTCATGTTCGTTTCCAATTCTCGGTGTAATGTGTTTCTTGATCTTCCTCTTCTCTTTCGGCATTGAGGAAAGACGCATTTAAGTGCTTTCTTCCTAATGTGACCTTGTGGTGGCCAATTTACTGCGTGTTCTTATGCTTCGTAATTAGCTCGTCTAGACAATCGTTATCAAGTAGCGTCTGACGGTTATAAATCAGAAGATGAATTCGAAGTAATGAATACGTTTATTTTTGGACACACCACACACAGCGAAGTTGAAAAGCAGCGAACAAAGCGTACGAAACGACGTGAATTGTAGAAGGCTAATGAGCCAACTCCTAGGATTACAATGCGAACGAATGGGCGAAGGAAGCGAACGAATAGGCAGAGTGCATTGCAGAAGGCTAATGAGCCAGCTCAAAGAAATAGAGCATGACTAAGAATATATAGACAGACATGCAACAAGCGAAATAGGCACACATGAATAAAAGCGACGAATGATTAACAAGGTCAAATGACACGTCATGTGAGCTCATACAAACCGGACAACAATAAGAACGAATGGTACATATAAATTTTTGCAATACAAATAAATGGCTTGGTTAACTAAATTAATCGAAAAGGCTTAACCAAGTTAGATGTAAGCGAACTGGAACGTATGTGTAGGAAATACAACCTATCCATTTCCAGCGCTTCCCCCTGATTTCTTCATCTCACAGTAAGATGTTCCTGATAGTATCTAGCCAACGTATATAAAATTTTGTTCATAGACAACCGTTAATAAACATCTGTATCCTGTGGACGAAGTCTTTCGTAGTTTCCGATTCATACTACGGTACTCTTTTGACATTCATAATGAGGATTTTGACTTTGCTGTTTGTTTGATAATTGTTCTGATTTTAACGATGTTTTTCAATTGGGGAAAATGCCGCTCTTATTATCATATATTACTTACATAAAGTTTTATATATAGTAATATCTGACAGATATTTAAAAAAAAACATTGAATTAGTCACTTCTTCTTACATGATAATAATAAATGAATCTTAATAAAAAAAGTTTCTAATTTCTATACAACAGCTTAAAAATCAGATAATTTTCTGATTTCTCGTTCATTTATGAATCTTATATCCACATTTGAAATCAATTAGACCGTCATTAGAAACCTGGAAGCACTAAAAGACGGCCGTTTCGTCCTGGTATGGGACCTGTCAGCAGTGCACACCTACGAACCCTGCACCCCACAAGATTCGAACCCAGGACCTTCATTCTTGCGCGCGAATGCTTCAACTCTAGACCAACGGTGTTAGTGTCTAACAATGATTGTTCGATGATTTCAAATGCATAAAAACAATAATCTTCATAACTCTAATAGAAAAATCTTAAAATGTGTTCACTAGTGACTAGCTTCGTGAGACGATTCTCGTAGTTCGAGTGAGATAACGTGACCGATTGAGTTCAACCATGTCAGGTGTAGGCAGTAATTACCAAAGACAAATGGGTGAGGTCGCGCAAAATCCTTAGATTGATAGGAGTTAGACATAAACACAGCTGGATGCCGTCCCAGTGTTCCAGAGCTTAGGTGTTCGCGCTCAAGAGCGAAGGTCCCAGGTTCGAATTCTGCGTGGTGCAGGAGTTGTGGATGCTCACTGCCACTGATGAGTAGGCTCATACCAGGACAAAACGGCAGTCTTTCAGCGTGTCCGAGTTTCTAATGGTTGTCTAATAATGATTGATTGATGATCTCAAATGTGTAAAAACACTAATCTCCATAACCCTAATTGAAGAATCTTATGAAGCCTTTGAATTAGATCTCCATGGATCATTGTGGTCTCTGACATCATGAGGTAAAATATTGAATGGTATATTGATGAATATATCTACTATCTAACCACACAACCAGTTCCATCAAGAAAAAGATTATCGCTTGGGACATAGAATATTTGTATTTTACAACTATGAAAGTTGTCATATAATTCAATTCCGACTGAAGTAACAATTTCAAGCGAAAAAAACAGTTAACTGCTACTACTTTCATCGGCATTGTTCACTTGTTTGTACAATTTTTGTACAAAACCCATAAGCATATAACATAATACTACTTAATTTCATTAATATAATTCCGTTTTTTAACTTGTGAATAAAATTTATTCCAACCTTAACTAATCTTCGTGATAATGAACGTGTGTAATTCAATTTGAACTGGTTTCGATTGTCTCATTGTTGATGTTTAGACTGAAATTCAGTCTTAGTTGGTGAATGGGCATCCTGTGTTGATTGTCTCGATGTAGTTGTAATAACACGAGTTTATACAGACAGGTAGAATGTGACTAGCAGCGGAATCCAGAATACGTATTTCATTCCATTTAGGACTTGTCGTTTGGTTGTAACTATATTTTGGAGTTGATGTTCTTTCGACGAATCGAACCTAGTACCGCTTTCTTTGAACGCTATCGCGTAATCCATTTGAAGTTAATTGCACTGAGTCCGACTCTCGGAGTTACCATCAAACCTAGGATATGACAATTTCGTCCAGCTGACGAGTCGAAACTAAGAGGAAATGTGCATCTTCGATTCCAATGCTGGGCAACATTCTGTCTACTCTGTATGAGTATATTTATTCTTATAACCGTCTATAAAATGACACATTATAAAGTGCATCATGTCAATAAATCTCATTATCTTCTTCAGTAGATGTATCGTCAATCTTTTGCAGTGTAGGAGTAGGTTGGAAGAAAGCTAGGGGCGGCCAAACCAAAACATGGCAGAGATCCATGAAGTCATTGACGACTGGACTTAGCTATGTTGGTAGATATAGGCTACCTGGTTGGGGTACGCGAGACGAAAGTCACCAATGGTTAGAGACCTTGAATAACATTGCTCAGAATCGTTTGCAATCGCGCAGGTGCATCCATTCGTTGTGTTCTATGAAATTCTAATCTTTTGAATTCCTCATAATCTCTGCCTTTCTCCTTCTAAATTTATCTTACTGAATTATACTTCTCGAATCATATCTTTGCTCCCTAATCTCCTGCTAATATTTCTACTATTGCTCGCACTCTTGAATTTGAACTGAGAGTTGCGTCTCTATGCTGAGGTGCTATGGCAACTTAAACTGATGTACTTACGAACGAATTAAATGTTGCTCATTTTTTATGAAATGTCAGTTGCATTTAATTAGCGTGTTGTTTCTGTTTTGAAAAACTGTTTTTATAGTTCGCAGCTGTTAGTGTAAAGAAATCATTTGAAGAAACATAGAAAATATTTTTGATATCGTAAATTTTTTCTCATGAATGTTCAAACTAGTTTAACAATCCGTTTATATTCTTGCAAACTAACCAATTTTCATTAAAATTATAAATCAATCATTGTTAGACCACAATTAGAAACTTTAAAGCAGTGGACTACCGTTCGTTATGTGACTCATCAGCAGTATACGTCAAGCAACCTGGCTCGTAGGAACTAAACCCAAGTCTTTCAGTCTTGAGGAAGAATGATCATTTTCAATACCATTGAGACCAGTGTTTCTAGGTTTTTAAATGCGGATCAATTCATAATTTCACTGAAACTTAACAACCTTTATAACTGTATAATGAGAAATCATAAAAGTGTGCAGAAATTCTCGAAGTTTTAGTGTGAGGCTGTGACGAGCAGTTGCACACTGAAGATGATCGGTGAGGTTACGCAACATTAGGGATTGATTAAAGTTAGACACTAACACCAATGGATGCCTGTTCACTAGTTTAGAGGTTAAACTGTCGTGTGTAAGACCGAAGTTCTTAGATTGACTGCACACTACTGATGAGTAATATATATTAGTCCAAAACTGATGTTCAGTACTTCCAGATTTCTTATGTTGTGGTGTTTTATTCTCTGAGCTTGATGTTCCGGTTGTAGATCTTTCATTGTTCTTCTGAACAACATCATCAACACAAACTTCGGATGGAAGTGAAGTATTTCTCCACGTTCGACCTGCAGCTTAACATCAAACACAGAGAAATAAACACCACAACAATCATCCACCTGAGCGAAAAATTTTCTCCACCATCTCAAGTTTTCTAATAGCGGTCTACCATTGATCGATTACAAATTTCAATAAAAAACTCAATCACCTCTACAACTCAATCATGAAGAAATAACCTTTTTTTCCTTAAATATTTTTATGTAAACTAAAGTCAACTCAATTTATCATCTTTCTTCTCATTTTAAATGAATTATGACAGTTACATAAATATCTTTTTCTCCAATATTTCGTCTGTTCATATTTCCGTATAACAGTGATAATAATAATAATTATTATTATTATGCTTCTTTCCACATTTCTCTCATGATTTTCTCCATTAAATTGTTATTCCGTATTTTTTCCTTCGATTTTATTTTATTCTAACCAAAAAAAATTTACACTTGACCTCATTTATGCTACTGAGTGTGTGTGTGTGTATAAATAAATTTTCGCATTTTTTTCTCTGGTTCAATAATATTCAGTTTTCTGACAAAACAAAATGATTTCATGTGTAAAGACTAAAATGAACCAGTATTGAAATAATAAATAAATCTCCCAAAATTAGAAAAAAAAGAGCAACACAAAAACTGATTCACAATTTTTTTTAGTTTCCAAAATAAAATTTTCTCATTGGTTCATCACATTAGCCAATCAGATTGCTAGATTTGATTATTCATCATTATTTATATAAAAATATGTAGTGTTTTCTTCACGAAAAACAATGACTTTCCACCTGTGATAGAATAATGATAGTTCATGATTTAACAATTTACAATATTACACTACATTGAGATGAATAATTTCTCTTTATCCATACTTATCAACAATGATATGATGACTACAACGACCACATCGACAACAACAAGTACTACTACTCATTTGAATACAAGTAGTACAAACAGTAATAACACATGTATTGATCATTTTCCATGGTTAGAAGTATTTCATCAAAATTATCAACCTATTCATGTTTATTTATGTTTAATTCTATGCCCAATCGGTGTAATAGCCAATACGCTGAATGTTGTTGTATTATGTCAACCACGTTTACGTAGTCCAACTAATTTACTACTGACTGTTCTGGCTGTCAGTGATGGTGTTGTCATGTTTATTTATATAATCTTTGATTATTTTTATTTAATGACACCAAGATTAATTTATGGAATGACGAAAGCTTATGCACAATTATTATTGATTAATATTGTGTTGCAGAATTTATTTCATGCCTTCTCTGCATGGATTATAGTCGCTGTAGCGATATTTCGTCTGATCTATATCAAAACTGGTGTACGTGCAGCGATCTATTGTAATATGGTTAAAGCATGGATTGTTATATTGATGGTGTTGGCTAGTTCAGTTCTATTAACTATACCATTTATGATTGCGCATCAAGTACGCGTGAAACCAACTGATCCGCATACAATGTCGACTAGTCTTGAATCGACAATAGAAAGTATCAATCAAACCATAGTCGACGATTCTCAGTTGGATACTAATAATACACCGTTACAATTATATGAAGTTGATTATACTACAAATATGAATTTACGGATAATTTTATTTTGGAATTCAGCTATCTTAGTGAAAGCATTGCCTATTTTAATTATGACAACGGTGAGTGCTGCGTTGATTTCTTCAATACGTGAATCAGAGAAACGTTATCGTATATTACGTAGATATCGTAATTGTAAAACATTTCAAGCAACATTAGAAACGACACGTATTGAAAGTTTTATCAATAATAATAATAATAATAATAATAATAATAATAACAATAATACTGGAAATGATATAAAATCACCAATGTCACAACAACGTTCAAAACAAAAACTTTGTTCACATACTGAAATGAATTCCGGTAATCGTAGTGCAAATCAAACAACTTATATGTTATTAACGATTATTATTTTATATATAGTGACATATTTACCACAAGTAAGTTTAGAATTTTTAAGTAAAAAAAATAAAATTTTTTATAAAGTTTCATTGATTTATAATTATTGTTCTTGGTAGTGTGTTTTTTTCTGTCGAGTTAGTTATTTTTTTACTGGATGAGGTCGTTAACCCCATGTCCAATCCTGCTGTTTCATTCGGGTTTGAGGCTAGCAGTAGTCATTAGGGGAACTCGAGGTGGAGTTTCTACCGAGATCGATGTCGAGTCTTATATTTTAATAGTTTTCAATGTTGAAACCTTAGGAAAACTTTTAACATGTGACGTAGTCGACAATTTCACTGTTAACCTATTCAAGCTTCAATCTATGATAACATTGAATTTTCGTTAATTGTTTAGTCAATAGGTATGGAAATAAATTTTTTGGTAAACTATTTGAAAACACAACAGTTTGCTGGATGGATATAAAAATTTTCTCTGAAAATAAATCTAAGAAAATTAAATTTGAACTTGACAACTCCCTGATAAATTTCCAAAGTTGTCACAGATAAAAGTGAAAAAACTTGTGTTAGAAAACTGAACTAGGATATTTTTAACATTTTAGGAAGATGAGCTGAACTTTTGATTCTTTTAAAATAATATATTTGCATTACGGTGTTGTGAAGATTGTTAAGGCACGCATTTTTAAAACCATGAATCGATCACTGTTAGACAACCATGGAAAACCTGGAAGCACTGAAAGATGGCCGTGCGCATCCACGACTCCTGCATGCAGCAGGATTCGAAATCAGGACTTTTGGTATTGTGTGCGAACGCCTAAGCACTGGACCATTGAGACGTCCAGTGCTTCCAGGTTTTTAATGGTGGTCTAACATTGATCGACTCATGGTTCAAAAAATGTGTAGAATAATATTTTTAAATTTATGAAAAACGTTTAATGAATTCATTAGTGAGCATAATTATTAAATGAAATTAATTTTCAATGTCAAAAAATATTTGTGAATGGTATAATTCATTTTTGAATATTTCTTATGTCTAAACTTACTCATTATACGATTGTTTAGTATGAAAGTTTTAATACATAAACATACTTACTAATATATTTAGCCGACAACCAGTATTCTGCATCGAACTCTCCGCCTTTCTTTCCAGATCTAGCCGATCGTTATTTATTTTTATCTTCTGTTTCACCTTTCAGTTCAGTATATTCCTTGGTCAACTTGTTTTCCTCCAGCCCATATACACAAACCTAGTAGATACATATTGAAACTTATCATTGTTGATTGAGATACTTTTATTACTGTAGAAAGAATAGAGTTTAAGTTTAGACTGTAGAATATTTTCACTAATTATCTAATAGTCTAATTCATGAAAGCTTTTTAAAATTAATTTTTTCACATACAGGGAAAATAACACTGTTTTTGTTGGGAAATAACGTCCGAATGATTCGCGCCTACTCAAAACGGCATTGTCACACTTGACTTGTCTGTTTCACTTCCTTTCCCCGTTCCTCATCCTGAATTTCATTTGCATCGGTGATTGTATGAAGCGAACTCATCCAAATTGAATCGGTTTTCGGCTCCGCATTTTACGGCCGTCGCCTTAATGCTAGATTAACCTGTGTGTATTAGACAGAATCGAACGGAAGATTTATTCCCATGGCCTATTAAATCGTTGAAAAATATGTATATATGTAGCAGATTAAGTTGATAATTTTAGCAACCTATAAGCAAAAATATAAAAGATTATCAAATAACTAATAACGTAATTTCATATTTATAGTATCGTAGTATTAAATAAATGGGACAACCGAATGACATAGTGAAGTTGAAGAGTAGTAGTTAAACACGATACCTCGATTTGTAAGTACGAGTGAAATGTCGTTTAGTTTATCAATTTTAATTTTTTTTTCTGGGTGGATTAGAGAGATTTAAACAATATCATTAGGATAAGTTCAATATCGTTTTCACTACACTTGTTATAGAGTCATTGACACGCACGAAAAAAGTAGTCCTTTTTCCTGGAATCTATAATCTACGACATGGTGATAATTGAATTCGCAGTTAGCAACACACATATGATATATTTATAAAATATTTACATGATTACAGTAAAATAAGTTTGAACAAATTAGTAAGCAATGATTATGAGATAAATATATTCACATGTTGAATGTAGTAGTACTGTAGGATACAAACTGAGGTTTGGATTGAGGAATAACTGTCTAGGTAGGTTAGATACGCGCTATTGCCCAGTTGAAATTCAAAACAAATGATTTAGGTAAATAACGGTTCTAATATTCATCATAAATATAAATAAACATCATTATCTAAACAAATATTACCACTCAGCTATTCGGCCAGCAATCGTTCAATTAATCAAATCAATAGCGACAAATAAGTGTTTTTCTATTCCTTCTGGATAGACCAGATTCGTTCTAAAGATAATATTCGGCTGCCTTATAGCACAAAGTGTTTCCTATTCTGGAAGAGTGCTTCACTTCATAATCAAAATGCACCATTCCAGTCAATTCAAACAACACAATCAAAAGAGGAACAAATCAATATGGCTGTCGCCATATAAAGTATCAGCTTACACAATATAAATGCAGTTCAGAAAGAAACATAGAAATTCAGTAGAGGCCAAGAAAATAGAAACTCTAATAAAATACATATATTATCATCTCCGAAATGAAATCGAACAGACTAACAGACTTAATGTACAACTGAAGGAATCTCAATAAACACAAGTTACAAATGTATTTATTGGAGGGATTTTCACAAACAAAGCCTTCAAAAAATGGATTTTACACTACATAACGTGTATTGGTTACATAACAACGAGTTGATGTCTGATATTAATAAAAATGACCAAAACTCACAATGAAACATCTTTGTTTTTTCTTACTAAATAACTTTTCATGTAAATTCGCGCTACACTGTGAACACATACTATCAGTGTTAAAGATTTCATTATTTAGATGGTAAACACAAAAGCAACTTAATTAAGGCAGCATTACAAATCATGAAACCTTCAATATACTCAAACTATTTTTGAATGTACTTATATGAAATAGAATTTCTCAATGATCACTTCAACTATATTACCCAAGACGTGTAATTCTGAAACACCTAAGCAAATAATTCAAACAGAAAATTTGTGTCCATGAAGAAAATTTTCATTTCGGATGATATTTAGGCTTTTGATTAAAATACTCGAAACACAAAACATACTAACAGGTTTTTTACCTCCGTTCAATGTAAAAATCAGCATCAGTTTTCTTAATTTAAACATATGATTGGCCGTATTATACCTAAAATTATCTACAACGCAGTTTTTTCTATCAATAAATATCACTTGTCAATCGTGTTGTTAGTTCATTTCAGGTTAAAAAAAAACTTGAAGTAAATCTAGAATTTTCAATAAATCAACAGATGAATAAATAATATTTAACGGTTATTTACTGCCGCATGATATTTATCTAAAAATGCGTGCAAACCATTATGTTCACATTTTGTGCAAAGAAAAATAAGTATATAATATTCTTGGGTTTAAAAAGCGTTAAACGAAATAGTTGTTTATTTAAGGTCATCGCCATTGAGCTTTATCTCAAGTATTGTGCACTGTAAAAATTCCAATTAACTCTGTCAATCTATTACACTCTGTCATCGATTACCTATCATTAAAATTATGAATCGTTTACTGTTACGCTACCATTAGAAAAGGGAGAGTACTAAATAGTTGAGGTTCATCGACGACGCTGAAAACAGGAATGGAATGGAAACACGGACTTCGAATCTCATTCAGAAATCGTTTAAACTCTGGACCGATAAGCTTGTAGCGGCTCACTACTGGACTTCAATGTCGACAAATGATCGAGTATGTGATGAAATATAGCTTCCTTTCCACTTCCGTACATGATACTTAGGCTAACCCCGTTTATGCGACGGTACTAAGAATAAGGCCAAATACGGTTTCTCGGAATCATTTATGCAGACAAACGTGCAAAGGTAAAGCGTACAATCAAAACGAAGCTCCATTGGAGGAGGCTAGTGAGCCAACTCAGAATAGATAAAGTATGACTAAGAATTTAAAGTCAGACAAAAGTAAGACAGACACATAACAAGCAAGATAGGCATGAATATACGCGTATGCGGTAAGCAATATTCAGTCGTACCAGCTCATACAAACCGGACAACAACAAAAACCAATGGTACACATAAGTTGTTGCTATACGAAAATTGGCTTGGTTAAATAAATTAATCGAAAAGCTTAACTAAATTTAATGTAAGCGAAATCAAATGTAAATGTGGAGGCACTACAAGCCAACATACCAAGATGTAATGTCTAACTTCAGCCGATTTATGATTTCAACGGAAACTCAGCAATTTGCACAACCCTATACTATATATATATATATATATATATATATATATATATATATATATATATATATATATATATATATATTGTCAATCTAGAACGTTCACAGATTAAGATGTTCAAGTTTTATGCTTTTATTCTGTCTTAATTTCCTTACCTTTTGATGTTACTATTATTATTTCCTCTTTTCTTCATCCTTGTGTAGTTTCTCTTTGACTAGTGAAAATGTTTACGCTTGTTACTTCTTATTTATTGGAAATTCTCATCTCACATTGAAAAAATAAAACATTTTTTTTAATTAATTTAGGTTTATTGACAAATAAATCATTACTTTGTAAATATTTTCTCATTTATTTGAAGTATCTTGTCTCTTTTATTGAGGAAATCACTCACTACTTATTAAATCATGATGTTTTCACTTATCAGACAAACAGACAAACACTGTTTACTATTAGAGTGAAATAGATTTCTTGATCATACACAAATCAGTAAACTGTCATAAGTTTAGTGTTGTTCATTTGACTAACTTTCGCCTGTTACTCCCAACGCAGCATAGTCCGCCAAAGACCAGTATTATCCAACCTAATTTATCCTGTACCTTTATTTCTAGTTCTATCCAACTGATGTCCATTCTTCTCATGTCTGTCTCCACTTCTCATCG